AAAGAACGCGAAAGCTAACTCGAAGTTCAGGGATGCGGCAAGTGCGCGCAGAACGCATGGTATTGCGCTCATCCCGCATGATTTTGCACTCGAACAGTCTCGTCCTCTCGGCGCCAATATCAAAGTAATCGGTGCAATTTCACCAGAGCCTGCGCGGAAGCTTCCAGAGTATTGGGATAAGTCTATGAGTGAAAATAAGGTCGTTGTAGTCGTTTCATTTGGCACAATTCTCTCCGACTATCCAATAAACCTTGCTCAAAGTATTGCGGATGAACTAAGCCAGGTTTCTGCTGCTGTTTTGTGGAAATATTCTGGTACACTGCCAAAAAATCTCGGTAAAAATTTAAAGATTATTCCATGGATTCCTAGAAACGAGTGTTCATTTAATGACATTTTAGGCCATTCGTCTACCAAAGTTTTTGTCACCCATGGTGGGTTGAATGGCTTTCAGGAAAGTGTCTACCATGGGATCCCTATGGTTGTCGTACCAATGACAGGTGACCAACCCAGACAGGCAGATTTGGTACGATATAAAGAGCTTGGTGTGGCCATCGAATGGAAGTCTATAAATGCCAATGGCAAAGTGTTGCGAAATGCTATCAATGAGGTGTTAGGTAACAAAGTTTATAAGGAAAATATCAAAAGACTTTCAACAATAATGCGGGACAGAAAACAGACCCCCAGCCAGGAAGGTGCAGATTGGATTGAATATGCATTACATCATGATGGTGCGCTTCATCTCACCAGCGAAGCAATTGATTTACCAGAGTATAAATTGCATATGTTTGATGTTTTCACCTTCCTTCTTGTCGTAGTATGCCTCGTTATTTATCTCATACTACGTTTGTGCTGCTGTATTTTTCGTGCTTGTCGGAGAAAGATGCAAGTTAAAGAGAAGCAGACTTAAGCGTGGACCTTTTTAAAACAATTGCCATTTAATACTGGTGTAGAAACTATTTTTTTTCGCTTCATCTATCATTCTTTTAGATGTAAAAAAAAGAATAGTAAATTTTCTTTTGGTGTGGTTTGCAATGCATTTAACTGACTTATTTAATTTTAATTGATATAATGAGCAATTCCAGCTATATACTAAATTCTGATCTAGGCAAGAAGAACAAAAACCATCACCACAGCTAGAAAGAGCATGTTAAAATTAGTAAAATTGCAACGTTTGGTTGCGAAATGTTGTAAAATGCGGAAATTACGCACTAAAGTTGTATTACGCACGGGAAAATGCACCACATTTGGGCCAAAAGTGGTGCAAATTCCCGTGCGTAATACAAATTAATACAAAATTTCGCAGGACTATAGTTTCCGTAGCATTTTACAATATTTCGCAACCAAACTTTGCAATTTTACTAATTTAAACATGCTCTTTCTAGCTGTGGTGATGGATTTTGTTCTTCTTGCCTAGATCAAAATTTAGTCTATAGCAGGAATTGCCCATCCTGGTCAGCGAGATCTCCCGGTAGATAATGGTATTAATGCCATATTAAAGATACATGGTATGGCAGGATATTGAGGGTACTGGAATAGCATATTTGAACTCTTGACCTTCGAAATGATATTATTATTTGATTATTATTATTTCTATTATTTTTTTATGGTTTATTTAAAAATTTCACAAATTCTATTCCGCTGTTGCAAACATGTTTCCCGGCCGTATATCACTGCGATACTGCCTGGCACGAGTTTATTTCTGCAACAGGCCAACTATGTAATATATTCAAAATAGAAAAGTTAATGATGGGTATAATTTATGATAACAAGTCCAAAAATTACGACACATGATAACACATATTGCTGCTTCGCTCCCTGCGATAGCAATAAATTGTGTCATTTTCCGTCAATTCAATCGCGGCGAAACTTTTAAAATGAAACAGATGCACACATTACCAATTCGTCTATTTTGCCTAATTCTTGTATCCGTATATTTGGTCAAGCAAGCACGATGTGGACATGTACTTGGTTTCGCCTCCTTGGGCTATGTCAGTCACCATCGAGTGTTATGGAAGCTTGGCAAAGAGCTTCAAACAAGAGGACACAAATACACTCACATTTTACCCAATTTTGCGAAGGAAACCTACGATGACGTGAACATAAAGGTATTCAATTCATCGTTAATCAACGAAAATATTGAAAATTGGTTTTTAAAGTTCGCGAGTTTAGGCGACTACAGTAAGGACATGTTCGTATTACTTGAAGTATTGAGGAAAATAGCGCCAGAACGCGGTCGGATGCTGCGACAGTTTTGTGAGGACTTTTTAAAACACGAAAGCTTGATTGCAGAACTTAAAGCATCTGTTGATTTAGTACTGTGCGACGTGGCAAATGACTGCTGTCATATTTTGGCAGATATGTTGAATGTAACTCGTGTTGATGTGTCTACAGTGGGGTTTGCGGGTGTTATTGGTGCATATCTGTTCGGTCTCCCCCAACCATCAGTGTATGTGACGTTAGAGACTCAGATATTATTGCCAATAGATAATAGATTTTCATTTATAAACCGACTGAAAGGTTTTGTGATTTGCATGGGTGTTTGGCATATTTTCAGCAATCCTGAACTGGAACATCTCTGGGAAAAGAACGCGAAAGCTAACTCGAAGTTCAGGGATGCGGCAACTGCGCGCAGAACGCATGGTATTGCGCTCATCCCGCATGATTTTGCACTCGAACAGTCTCGTCCTCTCGGCGCCAATATTAAAGTAATCGGTGCAATTTCACCAGAGCCTGCGCGGAAGCTTCCAGAGTATTTGGATAAGTATATGAGTGAAAATAAGGTCGTTGTGGTAGTCTCATTTGGCACAATTTTCTCAGACTATCCAATAAACCTTGCTCAAAGTATTGCGGATGAACTAAGCCAGGTCCCTGCTGCTGTTTTATGGAAATATTCCGGTACGCTGCCAAAAAATCTCGGTAAAAATTTAAAGATTATTCCATGGATTCCTAGAAACGAGTGTTCATTTAACGACATTTTAGGTCATTCGTCTACCAAGGTTTTTGTCACCCATGGTGGGTTGAATGGCTTTCAGGAAAGTGTCTATCACGGGATCCCTATGGTTGTTATACCAATGGCAGGTGACCAACCCAGACAGGCAGATTTGGTACGATATAAAGAGCTTGGTGTGGCCATCGAATGGAAGTCTATAAATGCCAATGGCAAAGTGTTGCGAAATGCTATCAATGAGGTGTTAGGTAACAAAGTTTTTAAGGAAAATATCAAAAGACTTTCAACAATAATGAAAGACAGAAAACAGACCCCAAGCCAGGAAGGTGCAGATTGGATTGAATATGCATTACGTCATGATGGTGCGCCTCATCTCACCAGCGAAGCAATTGATTTACCAGAGTATAAATTGCATATGTTTGATGTTTTCATCTTCCTCCTTGTCGTAGTATGCCTCGTTATTTATCTCATACTACGTTTGTGCTGCTGTATTTTTCGTGCTTGTCGGAGAAAGATGCAAGTTAAAGAGAAGCAGACTTAATAAGCCTGGACCTTTTTAAAACATTTTCCATTACTGGCGTAGACACTACAACTTTTTTCGCCTAATCAAAAACATGGTCTGCAATGTTATTCCGCTGTATCATTCTTGCAGATGTAAAAAAATGTTTTTATAGTAAATTCTTTTGGTGTGGTTTGCAATGCAATTAACTGACTTATTCAATTCTAATTGATGTAATTCTGCAACATAGTCATAGATCCCGATCTAATTCTGCAATATATAGTCATAAATCCCAGCTACCGCATTACAGAGCGGCTCTATATTGTGTACAATTCATTGAAAAATTGGCCTGAATTATGCGCATGATCACTGATTATAAAGTAATGGGTAGAAGTGGTAAAACAGGGAACTAATTTCTTGTTATACGAAAGTAATTTTGTAACCGTTAATTATTTTTCGGTTCTCGTGCGACGCGTCGAGCGCTCTAGTACTCTACAGCTTAGAGTCCGAGAGAAGAACAATGATTTGGTAGAAGTAGGCTAATTTATAATACAGGTTTTGCTGCTTTTGCACTATTACTTAGCGGCTGTTTATATGGAAGCCGAGCTGGCCCGCTAAAGGCTAGTTATCCGTGGATTGGAACGGACAAGAAAATTTTTTTTGTCTTGTGAGCTCTGGGGTGGAACTAATGACTTATAACACAAAGAAAAATGTTCTTGTCCGCGTTCCAATCCACGGATAATTTCCCTGAGTGGCTGGTCAGCGACAACGAGATTATAAAATGTAACATAATGCCATAGGATGCATGGTAATTTTAACTCTTGACATTCGAAGTGATATTATTATTTGATTATTATTATTTTTATTATTTTTTTATGGTTTATTTAAAAATTTCACAAATTCTATTCCGCTGTTGCAAACATGTTTCCCGGCTGTATATCACTGCGATACTGCCTGGCACGAGTTTTTTCCTGCAACAGGCCAACTATGTAATATATTCAAAATTGAAAAGTTAATCATGGGTATGGTTTATGATAACAAGTCCAAAAATTATGACATGTCTTTGCTTCCTCGCTCACTGCGACAGCAATAAATTGTGTCATTGTCCATGAATTCACGCGTGGTGATACTTCTAAAATGAAACAGATGCCCACAATGCCAGCTCGCCTATTTTGCCTAATTTTTGTATCCGTATATTTGGTCAAGCAAGCACGATGTGGACATATACTCGGTTTCGCAGCCTTGGGCTATGTCAGTCACCATCGACTGTTATGGAAACTTGGCAAAGAACTTCAGACAAGAGGACACAAATACACTCATATTTTACCGAATTTTGCGAAGGAAACCTACGATGACGTTGACATAAAGATATTCAATTCATCATTAACCAACGGAAATATTGAAGATTGGTTTTTAAAGTTCGCGAAAGTAAGCGACTACCATACGGACGTGTTCGCATTATTTGAAGTGTTGACCAAATCCTGGCCAGCACACAAGCAGATGTATCGACAGTTTTGTGAGGACTTTTTAAAACATGAAAGCTTGATTGAAGAACTTAAAGCATCTGTTGATTTAGTACTGTGCAACTTTATAAGCGAGTGTTGTTATATTTTGGCAGATATGTTGAACGTGACTCGTGTTGACGTCTCTACATTCGGGTTTTCGGGTGCTGTTGGTGCATACATGTTCGGTCTCCCCCAACCATCAGTGTATGTGACTTTAGAGGCTCAAATATTATTGCCAAGCGCAAGCAAACTTTCATTTATAAATCGACTGAAAGGTTTTCTGGCTTGCATGGGTGTGTGGTATACTTACAGCAAACCTGTACTGGAAGATCTCTGGGAGAAGAACGCGAAAGCTAACTCAAAGTTCAGGGATGCGGCAACTGCGCGCAGAACGCATGGTATTGCGCTCATCCCGCATGATTTTGCACTCGAACAGTCTCGTCCTCTCGGCGCCAATATTAAAGTAATCGGCGCAATTTCGCCAGAGCCTGCGCGGAAGCTTCCAGAGTATTTGGATAAGTATATGAGTGAAAATAAGGTCGTTGTAGTAGTTTCATTTGGCACAATTTTCCGCTCAGACTATCCAATAAACCTTGCTCAAAGTATTGCGGATGAACTAAGCCAGGTCCCTGCTGCTGTTTTATGGAAATATTCTGGTACACTGCCAAAAAATCTCGGTAAAAATTTAAAGATTATTCCATGGATTCCTAGAAACGAGTGTTCATTCAATGACATTTTAGGCCATTCGTCTACCAAGGTTTTTGTCACGCATGGTGGGTTGAATGGCTTTCAGGAAAGTGTCTATCATGGGATCCCAATGGTTCTCATACCAATGACAGGTGACCAACCCAGACAGGCAGATTTGGTACGATATAAAGAGCATGGTGTGGCCATCAAATGGAAGTCTATAAAGGCTAATGGCAAAGTGTTGCGAAATGCTATCAATGAAGTGTTAGGTAACAAAGTTTATAAGGAGAATATCAAAAGACTCTCGACAATAATGCGGGACAGAAAACAGACCCCCAGCCAGGAAGGTGCAGATTGGATTGAATATGCATTACGTCATGATGGTGCGCTTCATCTCACCAGCGAAGCAATTGATTTACCAGAGTATAAATTGCATATGTTTGATGTTTTCATCTTCCTTCTTGTCGTAGTATGCCTCGTTATTTATCTCTTACTACGTTTGTGCTGCTGTATTTTTCGTGCTTGTCGGAGAAAGATGGAAGTTAATTAAAGAGAAGCAGACTTAATAAGCCTGGACCTTGGTGTGCAATATTATTTCACTGTATCATTTGTTTAATTGTAAAAAACATTTATTTGTAGTAAAGTTTTTTTGCTGTGGTTCGCAATGAATTTAACTGACTTATTCAATTTTTGTTAATGTCATTAGTCATAGATCCCAGTAAAAAAATTGCGAAATTAAAGTCGCGCGAATAAAAAACCTCGCGAAATGGACGACTTGCGCTTTAGACTAAATTTTAATCTAAGTAAGAACAACGAAATCTATCACCACAGCTGGAAAGAGCGTCTTGGAATTAGTAATATTACAAAGTTTGGTTGTGAAATGTTGTAAAATACGGAAAATATAGCCCTTCAAAGTTGGCAAATTTGTATACTTTTGTATTACGTGCGTGAATTGGTAACTAAATTAGTTACCAATTTCCGCACGTAATAGAAATGTATACAAATTTGCCAACTTCGCAGGGCTATATTTTCCGTATTTTACAACATTTCGCAACCAAACTTTGCAGTTTTTCTAATTTTGATAACTTCTTTCAGAAAATATCCTTTGTTATTCCCAGATTAAAAATTTTTCTAAAGCGTAAGTCGTCCATTTACACACGCGAAATTAAATACCCTAGACACTAGTTAAAATTTTCAACTTTGATAACAACATGTCCAGCTTCACAGCTAGGTTCGACGTCGCGCGAGTTGTCAAACTTCTATACATGTCTAAAAAACTCGAATCTTTGCGTAAAAAATAAACGTGTCCATGGGTAGATGCGTTCAACGGTATGATCCTATATGATGGATGTTAAATGACGTACCCCACACAATTAGACAATGACCCTCACAGTGACGTGGGCTCGTTTTCTTCCAAAAAAGAAAAAAATAGTGAGATCAACAAAGGGACGCCGAAGAAAAAAATAATATGGGAGAAGCAAATATTACCAAGAAAATAATATATCCTGGCTCCGGGAATGAGCTAGAATTCACACCAGGATCTAAGGTATTTCACTAGAGAAAATAATGATTCATTTTCATTCATCTATGTGTATAAATAATATGGCACTGGACATTGTCACATTGAGCATTAAAATCTGGTTTGTTTGTTCAAACATTTTTTATGGACATGATCTGTCAGATGGATTGTGTATCTTGAAGGATAATTCATGTCTAAGTCGTCTAATATAAACCGGTTTTAATATCTCAATCAAGACAAATGTCAAGAAACAGTGGATCTCTTTGATCTGCCTCTTGTTCCCACTTCCCCCTAGAAGAGCAGTGAGCCCGCCAGTGAGTAGAGTTTGAACCTGCCAAAGTAGTTTTACTTTTTAGACATTTAAAAAAAAGTATTATATATTTTTCTTTCTAGTTTTAGCTTTCTGGGTTACTACAAGAGGAAACTAGAGTATTATGTTTTATATAATAACTACAGTGAAACACGCAATTTGATTGGTCAATAGCCGTGCAGGATCAGGCTATCCTGCACAAGGAATTAAAATGCCTTCGCGGGATTCTCAAAATGTCATTGTTTCACTGTAGTTATTTTATAAAACAATTACCAAATGGTTTTCCAAGCAGGATAGCGTGATCCATGCACGTGGGATGTTGCTCGACTTTTGGAAAGCGCAAAAATACACTTGCCTATGGCTCGAGTATTTTTACGCTTTCTGAAAGTCTTGCGACATCCCCCGTTCTCATAATCAGAAAATAATTCGCTCATTCTGATTGTTTGCTGAAATGTTTAGGCAACATTTCACTTCAAAACATTTACCCTCTCAAAAGATAAAGAACGAAAGGAAATTGACTGCAGTAAAAAAGTTGGTCAACCTTTTGAGCTTCTTATTGGAAAGCAATTCAAACTTGTAGTATGGGAGGAGTTAGTACGAACCATGAAAGTTGGAGAGATTTCAGAATTTGTTGTTGACAGCTCGGTAAGGTGCTCTTGACAGCTTGTTTTGTAGGGCATGTGTTTCGTTCTGTGTATTGTACAAGTGTTGCTATTATCACTAACGGCTACCATAACCACCATCTTCGTCGTCAACATCATCAACACCACTACCAACATCATCAGATTCATCATCACTGCTATCATTACCAGCATCACCATCATCATTATTGCACCATCACCACAATCATCATTGCTTTCATCATCACCAACAATATATCACCAACATCATCACCATCAATTTTGTCATCACCAACATCAGATCTGGTTGGTACATCACCACCATCATTAGCAACACCACCATCATCAGCAACATTACCATCACCACCACCATCATCTTGATGATCACCACCAATGTAACAACTCACTTTAATTTTACTTACAGTTGGTTGAAAGTTATCCCTTTGTATCAAAGAGCTTGCGGGATCATGCAGCACAACAGAAAGGTCATCATCACGCCCATGACCACGATCACAAGAAGCAAGGCAAACATCACTGCAGTATGGCTGCTTTTCAAGATCAGGGAACAGGTTAATATGATCGACCTATATTATTTCAGTCAAAATCAAGGTGGTTCTTTATACTGGACTGCTAGGGAGAACAATTTAGAATTGATATAGAGGTATCTCAGAAGAACCATTAGAACTGATTAGAGCTATCTATGTTTTATATTGTTAGGCTACAAAGACCTTGATGAACTTGTAAAAGAAAAGCCAGATCTTGTCTTTCAAATGCATCTTGAAAAGTTTGAGAAATCCGGTGAATACAAAAAGGAAGCTTGGCAGATGGATGACAAAGAAAAACTCGCTATTTTGCCAAAATATAAAGAGGAAGGCAACCATTTCTATAAAGAAAAAAAGTACACAGATGCTGCTCTAAAATATAGTGAGGCTTTAGGCTGTCTGGAACAACTCTGCCTAAGAGAAAAACCTAAAGACGAAGCTTGGAATGAGCTAAACGAAAAGAAACTACCATTTTTATTAAACTATGCACAATGCAAGCTACTGTTGGGAGAATATTATGAAGTTATAAGACATACAACCACAGTTTTAGATAGCATTGACCCGAATAATGTGAAAGCTTTATACAGAAGGGCAAAGGCTCATGTCGGCTGTTGGGACCCTAAGGAAGCAAGGCAGGATTTTGAACGGGTGATGGAACTGGATCAGAGCTTAGTGAAAACAGTTAGAAAGGAACTTGAGGAATTGGATAGGAAAGAGAAAGAACATAATGAAGAATATAAGGAAAAATTAAAAGGAATTTTTTCTTAAAGAATTTGTTTTTTATTTAATGCTGCTATAACTGAGCTATATACGGAGCTGTGCAGTTAACCAAAAGATTCAATTGGTATGGTTCTTTTTTAAGCAACCGATAGTCAGCACCGGGCATGCACAGAAGAACCGATAGTTTCATTCCCGATGTGTCACTGCTTCGTGTCAGAAAAATAACAAAATGCCTCTTGAAAATACTGAAAACTGACACTGAACTTAAGTTCTGTCACCTCCAAAAGGACTGGAACCAAGATGAAATTTCTGGAACTGCACAGCTCTACTGAGCTAGACATATTTAATTAAAACATCACCATGATGACATTTTTAAAACTTGTTGAAACTTTTAAGCATTCAGTATCAATAAAACAGGTCCAAACTTTTAATTTATTGTAAACTTTCAAACGTTTCTGAAGCACATAATTTAAGCATAATCTGAGTGTAAAACTAAATCATAAATTTTTTCACTCATTGTTTTAAAATCACTATGTTTCCTAGTGAGTTCATTTTGCATCTGATTAATCTTTGCAATAACTTCACGTTTTTGTTTCTGTATGCGTTGACTTTCCTCGGCCGACATTTGTAGCACAAGTCGATATTGCTGACTCAGCAACTGTGAATTCCTCTTGCACTCGTTGATGAGGCCTTGGTACGTAGGTTTGGGTTCGGGTAACCGGGCTATCTCAGTGCGACCAACAACTTTTTTCACTCTGTCCAAATCAGTTTCCTTGAGTCCTTTAACGCACATGAAGTGCGATACGAGCGGACTGTGGCCAAGTATATTGAATTGAACCTTGTGGAAATCTGGTCCACTCCCAGTAGGATGAGACGTCTGGACTTCAGGGCTATGGCCAACCTGGGAGCGTGATCTTGCTTTACTTTTTTCAGATGGTGACACCCTATCCTCGCCTAGGACTGCGTCGATATCAAATGATAATATTTTCGGAACAAGTGATTTCCGAGTTTCTTCGGAGTTCTGCATTCCAGTGGGTTCCAATTCGTCCAGTCGCCAGTTTTCCCACAACATGGGCGGGGGGCGTACCCCCGAGATCCACTCGTAGATGGTTTCCGTCAATGTGCTCTTGAAGGGATTCCCAAATATATTATAGGAATCTGGGAAGGCTTCACAGAAACCAGCATAAAGTGCCTGTGCAAGGCAGTTGGGGTAATAGAAAAAAAATCGATCTTTGTATGCAGTAGGGACACCAAAAAAGAGCGCAATGAAGCTATCCGCGATCCGAGAGAATATCATATCCTTGGCTTGTGTCGGTTCAAACAGATGGCAAAAAATCCACCAAAAAGAGTCTTGGAATACAGCGACAGATGCTTCAGATAAAATCGCCTTTTTCCAAATGTTTCTAAAAGGTTGGGGAAAGTTTTGGATCTTCGTGACTTTGTTTAGCAGTTGTTGTGATTCCAGGTTTCTTGGTAGGGGTGTGAGCTCATTTGGCATGAATCCAAAATAGGAGAAATTTTCGACAGTTTTTGCTTTACGGTTCAGTGCTTCTTTCTCTTGGGATTTTTTTGCCAATTCAAGGACATTGGATTCGTTGTTCCTATATTGACGAACCAACACTGGGGTTAAAACTCTCGTTTCCGCTTCTGCCACATCTTTTTTATCATCCTCGCTATCCTGTTTAGGATTCACCTGGAATAAGGAAATAAATATAAAATTGAAACAGTGAGTGAAAATATGTTCGATGTAGTAACCTAGGGGGGGGGGGGGGGGTTTGGCAGGGGGGTGGACCAATTTTATCATTAACTAATAATACCTCAATCTCGTTCCCAGAGTATGCCTGTTTGCGGATTATGTAGTGGCACTAGATAACCCGCGAACAAACATACTCTGGGAACGAGATTGATAATACCTCAATATTTAAAATCTTTGATGCATAAAAGTACACTTTCTTTTCCAATTCTTCAATCTGTTTTAAGACTTCATCCAAAATACTAAGATCTAACGGTGCATGTTCAGCTAGGGCATTGATAATATCTTCAAGAGTACCAGTTCCTACATCTTCTGGTGTCAACTTCAGGCTATTTTCTTCCGCGAGTTTTATAGGCCATGAAACAAAACCCATTTTTGCTAACCACTCGTCGGCTGTTTTTGGAAGCGGGCTCGTTTCTTCGCTCTGCTCTTCATGGCCATCTTCGTCTCTTCCAACTTCGTTTCCCAATTTCGACAAAAGTGCTGCAATGTTGCGGTCCATTTTCGCACAAAACACGTTTTAAGTTGAGCAAATAACACAAAATCCCACTCTTAGCGAGTAGCCATTTTGAAATATTCTGTTTACTATATGCGACGACGTCACCATGATCACGAATCGCGCACGATGATTGGTTGGAAATGCATTCATATTCAACCAATAGAAAGCCGTTTTAGGGTTTAAAGGGCATATTGATTACTTTAATATTGAATTCAGTACACATTGTTTACGACGAAGTAAAGTTTCGAATTTTTAGAAGAATAGTTTAGGGCAAATCACGCGATGTCGGCTAAAATAACCGATACTTTTCATGTTGTGAAGAAAACTGATTCAGTTTCAAAAAAGTTTCCTCAGAAAAAGGTAAAAAATGAAGTGAAAGATAAGGCTGATCAGCAACAAAAAGGTGAGGAGACCGAGACGAAACTGGGCAACTTTGGGCAAGGTTTGCACATGGTTTAGTAATATGATTCGATTCTGTGGAAAGACTCGAATTTACTTGTCAAGAGTAGATTGGGCAGCCTATATACAGTAGAGTACCAGCGCTCTCCTGACAAGTAAAAACAAATGGTGTTAAAATTATCTGTCGTTAGACGGAGTAAATAATAAAGTATGGCACAATGCAACTTAATGGTTTAAATATTTACAGTAGGCTGTTGCGGTGTATTGTAAAATTTTGATATATCAATCTCAAGAAAAAAATATCGACTATAGCAAAATTACAAAATGTAGTTTAGTCAACGGGTCATTCCAGAAAAGATCCACACTCCCCCCACGGAGGAAATTTCTGCTGTCCGGAGGGGGAGGGGAGACAAAATTGTTTCTGATAATAGTAAATGTATTAGGACATCCGAAGGGGGTAGGAGGGTTAACTTCCTATTTCCTCTGTGGGGGTGGTATGGATGTTTTCTGGAATGACCCAATATACTGCATCACAAACAGCAAAAAACAAAGTTGCATGAAACTGATTGAATATCAAAAGGTTTATTTATGACAATTTGGTCATTTTATGAATGTGAAAAAGATTTATTTACTATTTTATATTGATATTTTTGACATTTCGATATTTATCAACTACACTGATATACCGCAACAGCCTAATTTACAGCAGAGTGCGAGTGCATTCTTTATTAAGAGATTCCCAGGGTTCCCATGTGATTTTTGTACAGAATGTGATATAAGGGTATAAATAATGAACAGCTCCTACAGAAAGTTAGACTTAATATCCTAATAACTGCTTGTGTTGTAGTTTATCCAGCAGCAAAAGATGTCCACGATTTGAATATTATACGTGATTTTGATCTGAGATGTGAATATGGCCCGTGTATAGGTTTGTACCATTCCTTTGGTTTGTACTGTAACTACTAGTGAAAAGCAAACACTACGAGCTGTGGTCTATGCAGAAAGATAGAGGCTCACAGCTCAGAGATATGAACATGATCATTAATTTAGGCATATCAAGACTTGAAAGATGGACAAGAGCTCAAGATTATGGCCTTGAACCCCCTGCTAAGGTGAAGAAAATCATTGAGGAACATATCAATGACACCAAATTCACACAATGGTTTGTATGCTGAATTGTTGCAATTATTATAGAAAAGTGTAAAGATCAGGTTTGGCTGAGCAAGAGGTTATTTGAAAACCAATGTTCCTGGTTTAAAATAGCCAGACTATGTTTGGTGGATAATTAACCAGGGTCCAGTGGCAGACACTAGGGGTGGGGGCAAGGGGGGGGGGGCTGCACCTCCGCCCACCAATAAGTTTGAAAGACCTATAAAAGTCTGCTTCCACATATCACAATTATCATATACAATAATCAAGTGAGCCATATTCTGAAAGATCCATATATCTTACAGCCTCAAACAAACACCAAAAACCCCTTAATAATATACATATTGAACATTTTGCCCATCCCCCCCCCCCCCCCCCCCCCCTTTCCCCCCCCCCCCCCCCCCACCCTTCTGCAAGTGTCTGCCACTGCCATGGGTCCCTGGCTTTTCTCAGACACTCGTTTTCCTTGAAGTATTCCATATTGTTTTATTAATAATATTATATTAATAATTTATAAATATTGATTATAATAATAGTTTATATTATTTCCTACTTACTTTTTTTTTACTTTTTCTAGTTTATGGTATGAAGAAGAGCTTTTATAAGGAGATGTCTGCAACATTTTAACATTTCTAGTTTTAAGATGACAAGTATAACTTGAGACCACTTGACTATAATGACTAAGCTGGGAAATGCATAAACCGACAGTACTGAAAATTGCTTGTAATTAATTTATCTTGTAATTCAGTCTCTGCACAGGCTACGATAGCCACACAAGTTGCAATCATGAAATCCAACAGAAATTTTGTATTCTATGCTGCCCAACAAGCCTAAAAATAAGCGGCCGGTCATGGATATTGTCCGATACGAGAAGGTAATTGTCCGGTAACACTGGTTTTTGCCGGACAGTTTGTCCGGCAGCATATTACAGTAATACAGCAACACTTTGTCAGGCACCGTTGAAAATATATTTTCAGGCTTGCTGCCCAGAAGCTTTGGACAGGTTTTAGATATTAGGGAGGTTTAGATTTTGGCTTCCACTAGTTACCGCTATACCATTAACCAATCAGTTGCATTTAATTTACCCAAAAAACCAATCTACTTGTGAGAGGTAGTGGTAATGCCTGATGGTAGTAGAAGTCAAATCTGAACCTCTCGATTACAAAAAAAGGTAGTTTGTCTTTCGTTACAGTAATGCACCAAAAAGATTGGAGTGAATCGTATGTGTTTGTATGTGTTTCTTCTTGTTTTACGAAGATGTAGTTTCAGGTTACCGAATATCGTTTAGAAAACTGTGATTTATGTACCATACTTTATCTTACAAAGTACACCTAGAGTCTTACGTTTGTACTAGCTCGAGTATGCGGGAGTATAATCACATTTGGAGTATCAGCTAGAAATGTAGATTTATTACACCCTGACAGTTCGTCTTGTGTTTCTACAAAGACAGATCGATAGTCTGCGAAACGGATGATGCATGAATCTTAGTTTACATCAAGTCAGCCATTGCTCCGTTTTGAAGGATTTATGTAAGAAAACGTATTTGCACTAACTTGTACATTACGCCACTCCTACAGCGAACGAGTCTGTCTGTTGCATCTTTTTATAACATTCCAAACTGCAGAGAGGTAGCTTCGTCCGAGAGCACAAGTACCGTTTTACGTTTGCACAGCCTTCAACTGCACACATCACTGCCCTTGACGGAGGACTATAAAATTAGGAAATTAAATAAACTTCAAATTTATTATGCTTTATACCATAAAAACATGCTATCCGGTTAAACACTGCGCATGCTCAACTCTTACTGAGTATGCACAGTATTTAACCAGATACCATGTTTTTCTGGATTTTGCCAGAGGCCCCCTTGTTGCTGACTGTGCGTAAGAAAGGCTCTGGGTCGAGAATGGTTCCTTAGTCTTGCTAGAATGAATTATGAAGGACACAGTCTGACTTGTCCCCAGTCACTTACCCAACATGTGTTGAATTAAGATAATTCCCATGAATCATTACACGAATAAGCAATGTTAGGGACTGTGGAAGAGTCACAGGCCCCACACATCCTCTTGGCGGCCCTGCCAACATATCTTACCTTTCTAGAACTCTCTTTTTAAAAGGTACCTCCATATTAACAGGGAAAGATATTGAAATCCCATTCTTATTGTTCAAGTAAGTCACTCGGGGAACATCGGCTTTCTGGATCCGTTTCTGCTTTTCCAGTTCTTTTCTTGATTTCACTTGTTTTTTTAAAAGACGTTCAATTGTTTGTACCTAAAATAAATGTTTTTAGTTAGAAGGTGTATTTAATTTTTTTATTGTACTTATTTCATTTTTTTTGCCTTAATTAAAGTTCAATGCAATATTATAGCTTAATCTAATTAGCCTACCATGCTTTCTTGGTCGAAAAGGGGGGTTAGGGTGGGTGGGTAGTTCCCCCCTTCCCTCCCCCCGCCAGTGTCAGCAACTGTGACCAATTGAAAGTGTTACTGTATCACTCCAAAGGCAATGAATGTGCATAATCACCTTGTTTTCTTCAATTTGCTTTTCCATCTGTTGTTTCCTTTTCTTTGCTCGCTGTTTCCGTCGTTTGACTGCTTCTTCAGAATTCTCATCCTTCTTTCTCGCTGGAAGTTTGAGACAGCATTGTATCGTAGTAGCATGTCTCAAGACCGGATTTTGGTGGAAATAGTTGGGGAGGTAGAAAAAATTTCAGGGAGGTGTGCAGCGATCTACCTCACGACCCCCATGGAAAGTTTGGGCTTAGAACGGGTCAAAGTCAACAATGTGACATATGCATGTAGTGTAGCGAGTGGAGAGAGTAAGTTCGGGGTCACACAGCTGGCAAGGCAAAACAGCAAGTGAGCTACGGTGGGGGAGTGGGACCAGGGAGAATTATGGACTAATTATGCCTCAAATGGCTCACAAAATCCATTTTTAGTTGGCAAGAAGAAATAATGAAATATAATTCAGAGGCTGAGATTTTACAAATAAAATTGGTCAATAATTTTTTAATCAAAATTGCTGTCAACATGAACATTGAAAACAAGAGCAGAGAGTTAGACTAGTCTTATTTATTTAGCTTTGCCAACTAGGGCAGGGTCACCACAACAGCATATGCCAATTACTGTGAGCCCTTTTTACCTAACCCACCCTGTCAACTTTCCCTGTGGGAGGAAACCGGAGTACCCGGGGAAAACCCACAGCTTTCGGCAGAGCGTTGACTTTTACTCTTTTCACATGGGGACTGGGTTCAAGTCGCACTGAGAAGGTACTTAGTGAGACTCGAACCTGCAGCCTCAGAGGTGAAAGGCAAGTGCGCTAACCACTTGGCCACCGAACCCCCGTAAATTTCTCACACAAAGTTTGCGGCATCCATTTTGGAAATCAGTGACCAGTGTTACTACACAGTTGCAACTAAAGAAGGTGTTGAGGCTTGGCATGAATGCTTACCTGTTGGCAATTCCATGAGTTCATTTTCACCTTGTATTTCATGACCTAACATTGCTCTCTATGGAAAACATAATTTCAATTACAAATTTATTACAAGAAAGCAAAATTATCGGGAAGTTGCGAAAACTGACCTGTCTTGCAGTCATCATGCTGGTGTCTTGTTCTTGTTTCAATCTGCCAAAATCATCGAGTTCACCTGCTTCAAGTGCATCAAGCCAATCTTCCTCTTCTTGACTGAAATTTATGTAAAATTTAAGTAAAAATTATTGCTTTTAAAAATCCAGTTGTATGAAACTCTTAAAGTGCACATGACATGAATATATTATGAAGTGCACAAGAGCAATCACGCAATTTTGCAATCTTGTATCTGGTACTTACTCTTCAGACAATTTTGTTTGTTGCACGTCAATGACCTCATCCTCTGCTTGCCAAGGTTCGTCTACCCATGCATCTGTGAGCTGTTCTTCTTTATTTGAACTCTGTTTCACTTGTTTACCACTTGAGGGTGAAATAACTGGACTAATTGTTGGAACTCTAGAAATAGAATCGTTACAAACGTGATACTTGTAGAGCAGTGGAGCGACGCTACCTCCATTGTCTACAAGACTAACTCAAAAACTTCAAAACTCAAAATATAGGGGGGTGTTTAAATGAGCCCCGCATGCTAATCGGCCCTTCCAAAAAGTACTTCACCATGGCTGTAGAGTCTTGTTTCAGTGATTCAGACATTCGCCCTAATGAGAGGGTTAATTTTTCTCGTGTAAACACAAGATGAAAAGAAGACCTACAGGTATGTCTCTATCCCTTTATGTAGGGCTCATGTAAACACCCCCTGAATCAAATTACAAGTCCACTCCACGAACCATACATGTGCAGGAAATGGAGCTAGTTATCTTTATCCTGGGTGGGGGAGTTTGATTACCTTATATGTGTTTGTTGCGGGTGATGCCAACAAACTTGCCATCCAGTGTCATGTCTTAATAAGACCCTCAAATTAACATTCAATCTAACCCTGCAACATTAATGCATGTGACATTCTACCCATGACCCTGCCAACAGTTATAACGCCTGCTCCTTGGCTACTTCCACAAAGAAAAGAAAATCTGCAGCCATGAGCAGGTTCACTTACTGTTTAGTTGCTAACGTTCGTCCACCTAATTTTATTTTCAATTTTAACGACCTTCCCTCATCTTTCTCCTTTTCTTTCTTCTTACGTTTTTTCTTCCTTGGTGATTCAACCTCGACGAGGCCCTCACTTTCTGTCACCTCTCGTTTTCTCTTGTGTTTCTTATGCTTGTGTTTGTGTTTTTTCTTGGGTGAACTGGATCCCTCTGCTGTGTCTACTGTAAAGTTGAGTGAGTTAAGGGAAACATCCATATGCCATTGAGGGCCAGCGCTTTCCCCATGATGGGTAAAATCATCTGGCATTTTTACCAGAGTGCATTCCATGCACGTTTTGTAGAAGATCTTCGGCGCGAGTTTTTGAATCGCTGGCGCACAATCACGTCGAGGTTGGCGCACAAGTTTTCAGTTTGGTGGTTGACGCAGCATTGCTCATCAGCAAAACATTTTATTAATTAGTTACATGCCTTTTTAGCAAGTTTAAATTTTAAGCAACTAACTATTAATGAAAAATCACGGTGCCCGCAATCAGCTGGCGCATAAGTTGACCTAACTTGGCGCACGGCAACACTACCTCAGATTATCTTCGGCGCGAGGTTTACACGGAATGCACCCTGGCATTTATAGACAGAGTAAAATGATAAAGTAGGGCACACCGAGATACAATGCAACTTGAATTTAAATTAATGGGATATTCAGGCCTAACAAAAATATCCTGTTGTTCCTGTTTCCCGATTGACCCACTTTTTCTATAGACCCCGATGTTTTTTGGATGTGGTTGGGTGTTTGTTCACCAACCAACCCTATTTTATTCGTTACCAACTATGTGATACAACGTGATGCCAAAATGGGTATCCGTTGCCCACATTTAACTGTGATGTTTTTTTCACGACCATGGCAAATGTTTTTTAAAAATCTTGCCAAAGGTATGGCACACTTGATGTTTTGTGTGATTCACTGTGAGTCTGAGACACTGTCTACACTCTTGTCACTCTCCTTTTTACCATAAAGGCTATTTAAAAGTCAAACTAATACTCTTTGCGCTGGAAACTAACGTCTATCTCTTTACTACAGAACTATTTAAATGTTAATACCTCTTAAATCTTCGTCGCTTGTTATTTGGTTTTTCTTTCCCATTGCAAAGCACAGTTTTAATAATCTTCTAAAGTTTTCTACGTTCCGACGGCCATATTGGAATTATGAAGCGCAGAAGCCTGGTAACCACTTTATAAAATTGACAAGCACACCCCCCGGCCATGAACGATTCTGGGTGCCTCCCCCCTGGTAGACTTATATAAGTAAACATATATATATATATATAAGTATATTCATTATCACAAATAAAAATAAAATGAGTGACGATAGGGGCAGGGTTGGTAAGTTAGATGAATAATTAGGTGGAAACAAAAGGCCAAGACAAAGAAAACAAAGGCCTAGTGTGACGGTGTTTGGCCTAATTATTCAGCAAACCTATCAACCCTGGATAGGAGGCAGAGGTTATTTGACTTGACAGGACCACTTTTATATCAGCAGCTATATTAACTATATTTAACTCTATTAAGTCATTTTCTTATTTTTGGGAGCACGAATTGTTTTCGATCCCCAAGAAATAATTACCAATTGCATCATTTGTGTGTAATAAAAATATTTCTCATTTTCAAATGCTTATTGCAAATACTCATTGCATTGCCGGAGCAGATTAAAATCTGTCAAATGCTTTCCAAATGGTTGTCACAAGCATTGAAATTTTTTTTGTGAGCCATCTGTTATGTGCAAGTGATGGGAAGAGCCTCAAAAATCAGATTGTTTTGAAGCACTTTTTCTGGATGGCAATCAAACCTCCCATGGTTTCTTTTCTTCTTTTGTCAATTGAAGATTTCACCAATAAGCTCTATCACTATATCTGTTTCAATCATTTTCTTCATTCAAGGCTTGATCAAGCTGTCAAGAGCCTCGTTGAAAAGGTTTTTCCATCAGTTGCAAAGTTCTGAACAAAGCACTTCCAGAGTGAATGCACTCAATAGGTTCGCCCACTTCGGTATAACCCATCTTTTTAAAGAACGGCACAGCTTTTGATGCACTTTCAATCCTGATGGTTGCCGGTGACTGGAACCAAAGTAGATGTTCCATTTTGGTCAACATTTGTTTACCATAACCATTGTCCTAAATAATGAACATTCATTACAATTATCAAAGCTGCTGAAAAATTCTGGGCAGCTAAATTAAGTTACTCATTACTTCATATTTTCAAAACAGCAGAAACAGTATTATGTAGTTATATCGCTCTCTGAATTTGTAACAGCCAGCTTCAGATTAATAAAGGATGTTTTAATTTAATTTAAAAGAAAAAATAGGAGAATTGTGCATGTCTGGAAACTGCCTATAATATATAGGTGTTAGTGAGGTGTCTACATTAGAGAGGTATCTGTATTAAAGAGCTGTCTAGATTAGAGGGAGGCACCCATATTATATGGGGGTCTATATTTGAGAGGTGTCTATATTAGAGAGGTGTCCATATTAGAGAGGTGTCTGTATTAGAGAGGTATCTGTATTAAAGACGTGTCAATATTAGAGGGAGGTCCCCATATTACACAGGGGTCTATATTTGAGAGGTGTCCATACTAGAGAGATGTTAAATATTAGAGAGGTGTCCATAGTAGAGATATTTCGGTATTAGATGAAGAGATGTCCATATTAGAGAGGTGCCCTTATTAGAGAGGTGCCCTTATTAGAGAGGTGCCCTTATTAGAGAGATGCCCTTACTAGAGAGATGCCCTTATTAGAGAGGTGCCCTTATTAGAGAGGTGCCCTTATTAGAGAGATACCCTTACTAGAGAGATGCCCTTATTAGAGAGGTGCCCTTATTAGAGAGGTGCCCTTACTAGAGAGATGCCCTTATTAGAGAGGTGCCCATATTAGAGAGGTACCCTTATTCGACAGGTGCCCTTATTAGAGAGGTACCCTTATTAGAGAGGTGCCCTTATTAGAGAGGTGCCCTTATTAGAGAGGTGCCCTTATTAGAGAAGTGCTTGTATTAGAGAGGTGTCTGAATTACAGGTGTCCATGTTAGAGAGTAAAGGGTAGACTCTATTTGGGATGAAAAATACTAGTTATTACCTGATAGTCTTTCATAACAAAAAGAAAATTTATCCAGTGATAAACATCCTCGTCATGGGGATTATCACTAATGAAAATCTTCTGAGAACGACCACACGCAACACTCACAACATCTAAAACAACAATTACTTTTCACATGAAATCCCTGGAGAATTTGATACTTTCAGTTTGAGCTTTTAGTCCCTGTCCCTAGATTGGAATTTACCAACAACCAACCCAGTTTGACTAATTCAGGTCCCTAATTAATGGTACACATGCAAAAACAAGCAGTCGACAAGATGTATTCTCACTGCTTGTCAACAACTTGTTGACAACTTGAAACCTTGTCAAAATTATCAGACTTGTGGCAAGGTTGTTCTGACAAGTCCGTTACATGCTTGATATAACAAGATTGTTACAACCTTGTGTTGACAACCTTGTAACATCCTTGTTATATCATGGCTGTAACAAACTTGTTAGCACAGTCTTGTAACAAGTCTGATGCCATCAAGCTTGTTACAAGTTGCTAACAGCTTGTTCCAAACTTGTTACAACAAACTGGGAACAAGCAGTGCGAACACAACTTGTTGACAGCTTGTGAACAGACTTGTTTGCAGACTTGTTACAAGCTGTGCGTTTTTACGTGTGTAGTGGAAGTCAAATCTGAAGCCCTCTATTACCTGTCTTGAGACCAGACGTTCTACCAAACAACACTATATTGCCCTCTCCTGGTTCCAAGGACTCGCCACTGACTGCACGAGCTACTTGACGAAATATACGCAACGTTTTTGAACTGAACTTTTCACTACTCACTGTAAATGTACTAGAAAAGAAAGCGTTTCACGTTGTTTATCTACTATGAAAGGTATTGAAAGTTACATTACAAAAATAACAGAATTATTCAATGGGAAAAGTTTATAGAAACCTTATAAAATACCTTGTGTTGTCCATTTGTTGACATGTTTGCGAACTCTCGTTTCCAGGCTCTTTTTCTGCTCTCACCTTACAGAGACAGACAGACAGACAGACAGACAGACAGACAGACAGACAGACAGACAGACAGACAGACAGACAGACAGACAGACAGACAGACAGACAGACAGACAAACAAACAGACAAACAGACAAACAAACAGACAGACAAACAGACAGACAAACAGACAGACAGACAGACAAACAGAC